TGAGGATAGGTAAGACACCTAAAAAATTAGCTAGCATTTGTTGCCCTCAACACAGAGAAACTAAAGCAGATACCTTAAAAGCAACTGAGGCCAATAGGAAAAGGGGACCAGGAACTAGAGAAAAGGTTAGATCAAAAAGAATTAACCTAGAAGGTAACACACACGCACAGGAAATCAATGTGAGTCAATGCCCTGTATAGCTATCCTTATCTCAACCAGCAAAAACCCTTGTTCCTTCCTATTATAGCTTATACTCTCTCTACAACAAAATTAGAAATAAGGGCAAAATAGTTTCTGCTGGGTATTGAGGGGGTGAGGGGGAGAAGGAGGGGGCGGAGTGGGTGGTAAGGGAGGGGGTGGGGCAGGGGGGAGAAATGACCCAAGCCTTGTATGCACATATGAATAAAAAAGCTATCATTGGTAAAAAAAAAAAAAAAAAAAGAAAAGAAAGAAAAGGCTCTGTTTAGTTCATTTGCTCATTTCTTCATTGGATCATTGACTGGTGGGGAGGAGTTTAGTTTTTTGAGCTCCCCGTATATTCTGGTTATTAACCCCTTGTCAGATGTGCAGTTAGCAAAGATCTTCTCCCATTCTGTGGGCTGCCTCTTCAATCTGGTGGCCATTTCTTTTGTTGAGCAGGAGCTTTTTTTAGTTTCATGTAATCCCATCTGTCAATCTTTTCTCTCAGTTGCTGAGCCGTTTGAGTTCTATTTAGGAAGTCATTGCCTATACCTGTAAGTTCCAATGTATTCCCTAGTCTTTCCTGTACTAGCTTCAAAGTTTCAGGTTTTATATCAAGGTCCTCATCCACTTTGAGTTGATACTTGTACAGGGTGAATGACATGGATGTAGTTTCCGTTTTCAGCATGTAAGTATATCCAGTTTTCCCAGCAACATTTTTGAGGCTGTTTTTTCTCCTTTGTATGTTTTGGGTGCCTTTGTCAAAAATAAGATGGGTATAGCTGCATGAATTCATTTCTGGGTCTTCTGTTCCACTGGTCTTCACGTCTGTTTGTGTGAGGCAGCATTTTAAGGCTGCATAGACTCCCCAAAGACAAGGCAAGTCAGCCTCTCCTGGCTCTGGGAATTAAATTCACAGCCACTCCTCACCCAGTGCTGTTGCTTCCCCATGAAGCCTTTTGCTTTTAATAGGTCTCTCTGTCCTCAGGCCTTCCTATGCCCTCAGCAGCACCCCTCCCTGCTTGCTGCTCTCCCACTTCTCTGTAAGGGCTGGAATTTAGCACCACAGTACCTCACTGTGGGCCCTGGGCTTCCAGAGTTAAGAAGCTGCCTTGTCTTTCAACATCCCCAGTGCCCAGCAGGGCTGGAATACCAAGAAGGACTCAAGAGACATCTTTTGTCTGATTGATAGACCAGGACATGACCCAGCCATGAAGCCAGTGATGGGTTAACTTCAGCCCTCTTGCAAAGAGGCTGCAAGTGTCCTGATGGGAAGAGCTGGCTGTGAGCTTGGAAATAGGCTCGTTCCAGTTTACCCCTATACCTCTCCTGTGAAAGATCCCTGCTTGGCCTTCCTCACTAGGACATCCCATGCACCAAAGGTGATATCCACAAACAGGCTTTGTGGCTTGGGGCTGGGTGGGTGTAGAGGAGTCATGAGCACAAATGTGAACCCACTGTACCCAGTCAAGGTGCTCTGGGCTGGGCACCACCCACCCTGACTGCTGTCGATGTCAGCTGCTGAGTGCTCACAGCAGTACTGTGAAAATTCTTTTCCAGAGAGTTACCCTGCCCCAGACTCACCAAGGAGGGGGCACACTGCCTGCCAACCTTGGAATGGGCAGCCCACAGCAATCAATGATTGATGCACGTATAAAAAGCCCACCCCTTGCTTAACAGTTGGACCAACTGTGGCACCATTCATGTTCCACTTCTGTACATGGGATCAAACTGAGACCACATTCTGGCTAAGTTCCTTCTCTGGCCCTTTGCTCTCTTCCCTCCTCTCTCAGAGAACATAACCCCAGTAAAGGAAATGCTTCCAAATCTGACTGATGCTTGGTTCCCAAACCCTAACATGTACCACATCACCTGCAAAGCTTATTGAAACACAGATTTCTGGACCCAATCCCCAAAGTTCTGACTTGGTAGGTCT